AATACAAAATATATTTAAAAACAAGATGAATGAAATTGGCTAGGTTCTGTATTTAGAAGCATGACACCAGAAATTTAAATCTAAGTTTAAGTGTTTCTGCATATTCAGTATTTTCTTGATGTTTAATAACTGATGCTTGCTTATATTCTCATTTTCTTTCCCTGTTATTTATATATAGCAATAAAGATAGTGTGACACCCAAAATGCTGTCAATCAGTGGGAAATTGAGAAAAGACATTTAAGGCAAGTACCCTTTGCAGTAAAGTGCTCAATATCAGAGATAGAGCATTATCTCCTGATGAGTGGACAGAGTAATTGCTGGCAGGTCTGTCTATGAAACTCTGGAGTCAGGATGCTGAAGGTAACACTAATCAAGTAAGTGCCAATTTTTTATTTATTTACACACACACATGTATGAGAAAGAGGTCAGACAACTTTGTGTTACCTTTCCCTGTTATTATCCTTTCTTTTTTGTCTGGATATGAACCATCATTTGTAAATTTATACCAGTTACATTTTTGGTCTGATGAGACATACTGGTCAATATAAATCATGATCTATTACTGTATTTTTGTGATGTGTTAAGCTTTTTCCTTGATTTACACACACACACAATCAATAAAGACAAAAGGGACAAAATCCTAAGACAAATTTAAAAAATAAAAATGGAAATAAATTTTGTCAAAAATAAAAATATAGCACAAGGAATAAAAACAAGAGCATATTTAAGGGAAAATAAATTTTATTTATAGATAAGAAAAAAAAAAAAAAAAAAAAAAATCACAATTGAATAGATTTAAAGAATGCATCACATAGTCTGGACAGTTTGTCAATAAATGGCAGTACACCCAAGATATTATTTTGAGATGAAAGCTGACATACAGACAACAAAAAAAATACAGCTGTCCAGTCAGTTAAGAAAATTTTCATAATGCAATTTCAATAACTGACTTATCATTAATCTATTAAAAAATATAATTTGTAGAGCATAGTAAAAATAAAAAATACAAAAAGAATCAAATTTTTATTTGCACAAAAGCTTAAATTATTTAATGTTTTAATGTTATAAAACAAAAACAAAGCTGCTATTAACTTTAGCAAACAGAAATTCCAGAAAGATTTCACAAATATCTATTTCTGACTTTTTTTTTTTTTTCCAAACAAAAATTCAAATAAAATTTAATGAAAACATTTTCCAACGTTTTTTCAAATTTTATCAAATCTACCATAGTAGATGTGATAAATAAACCCAAATTCTAAATAATGGAGAAAAAAAATATTAAAATGAATAAGCATGTGTTCATGCATAAAATTTTACATAAAATTAAAGAGACAATAGAACAATTTTCTGCCAATAAATCTTGCTCTGTACACCTGAGATTAATTTGAAAAAGTATTTTCTTTAAAAAAAAAAAAAAAAAAAAAAATAAATGCATTCTTAATTTTTTGTTTAGTTTCTGTCCCTAATATTTTTTCTTTCTCACCAACTTAAATAGTAATATGACTGGTACTGCTGTTATTACAATTACTATTGTTACAGAAAGAAATAATTTTCAAATCATTTGCTTCCTTAAAAATGTTGATATCTTTTTCAGTGAGGGGCAAAAAAATAATTTATTCTCCCCTCACCAAATGGGGGAAAAAATACAGACAAGATTATGTTTCTTGAAAACCACATATGCTAGTCTAATCACATAACATTCTGGCAATGAAAAAAATAGGCCAGTGTATAATGTTGGTTTTTAAATTCATGTCTTGATATGGTTAATGAAAAATATAGGTTGACAGCAATAAAGAAACTCTTGAATGATAAATGATTTCCTCAACAAATTCAATGTTCTTTATTTTAAAAACAAGCCAGAAGAGATATTGCCAATACAAATTACTGTATATACTTGTATAGTGCAACCCTGAAATTTTTGCATGAATTTTAATTCCTCCAGAAAAAAATTTAACTGTGCTTAGTGCAACCAATCACTGAAAATATAGAATCTTTAACATCTTAAAAAATTTAGCTGTTTCTAATGCAATCACCTATTTTTTGCATAAAAAATGACCATAAAAACTTGAACTATATTTGAATATATACAGTAGTTTCAGTATTGCATAAAATCCAGTTAAAGATATTCTAGTGAAAGTTTAGTAGTAGTTTTAAGCTGTGATAAACAAACAAATCAAACAAAAAACTTAATGCACTATAACCTTACAAGGTTAAAATTAATAAAACCTTTTAAAAAGGAACTTGATAGGATTCTTTACAGTTTATCATCACTTGATAGGCACCATAGCAAACAATCTAACAAGAAACTAGTTAAAATATTTTTGGCATATATTAAATATGCCAAAAATAATCAGCATATTGTTGTAGCAAGTTTCTTTTTTAATGCAGTTTATTTGTAATATTATACAAGGTGATCGTGAAAAGTTATTGGCATGACCAAGAAACTGTTTCAAGGAAAAAACTAAAATTGGCATTTGATCTCATTTTGGGAAGTGAGTCAAGCTGAGAATTTTTCAGCACCAACATTGTATATGGTTTCTGTTGTTTCATGCCTTAAAAAAAAAAAAAAAAAAAAAAAAATTAAAATAAATAAAATAAATAAAAATAAAGTAAAAAAATAAATAGTTTTGTGAAATTTTCTGAAAAAATATTTTAAATGCTAAGTCATCAATGAATTCAATGCAAATCAATCATTGTTAAATGTACTTTTCACTTGGAAATAAAATTAAAATCTGTTTTAATGTTATTTTTTGTTAATTTGAGAGAATGAGAGCGAACGAGATAGAGAGAGAGAGCGCGAACGAAAGAGAGCGAACGAACCTATTAAGTATAAAAATTAACATTTCCAAACCTGTTTTAATGTACATTTGAATTAAGAAATAATTATCTTTAGTTATTAACATGAAAACTTGCAATGAAATATCACAAAATTAATATTTTAATGGGAGAATCCATGTTATTCTGCTTGTTTGTAGTACAACCATTAATGCCTTTCTACCAGATCCTTAAACTTTCTGAATGGAGAGATGTATAATGATAATAATCAAAGAATTAGCTAAAATGAAGGTGAACGGAGAAAAAAGGTGTGAAGGAGAAAAGGTAAGAGATAAAGGAAAAGTACAATAAAGCAAGTGGAAAAAAAAAAAAATTACGTGAGAGTGTTGGTGGGGTAGATATATTGATATTTCTTTTTTAATGGATTGTAGGTTTATTTAAAGTCAGAAAATATTTTTCGATTGCAAGATTTTTTTTTTTTTTTAATTTTTTTTATAATAATGATTTTTACTTATATAAGTTCTATTAAGCCATAGCTGGTGAGGAAAATAGGTGGATTAATACTTTTCTCCTCAAGTATGTTTGCACGAAGGTGGATATAACGAACCTGACTGAAATTGGAACTCAACTTTGTTTTCCAATTCCGGGCTGTTACCAATTACACCACCAGCACCAACCAAGCTTACAGCATCTGGTATGATAGAGAAAATTCAGTAAAAAAATATTTAGAGGAAATAAAGAATAGAAAAAATAAAGTAGTGAATGAGAACATTACAAGAAAATGATGAGAGAATAACAGAGAGATGATATAATGAATAATCTTATATTTCAATACACATAGAATTTCCTTCCATTGGTTCAGATCATAAGAATTCATTTTTTTTGCTGTATAAAAAGCCAATTTTGTAACCAACCCTTTTTTTCTTTTTACAGTATCCTTAAATATATATAGAAATAGACAAGAGTAAATTTAAGTTCTATAAGCAAATACAAGATAATGATGCAAATTTCTCCTTCTAGACTTGGACGGAATAATCTTGTTACTTGATAATTTACAAATGTGTGATTAGAAAATTTTAATTATGAGGATATTTTAAGCACCTAATGCTGATGTTTTATTTTAAAAATTCATTCAAGATATACAATGAGGTGCTGAAAAGTTCTCAAAATTTGACTAAATGAGCAAGTAAATTTATTTTTTACAATGGCTTCTTGGTTAGGCTGAGAGCATTTTGTACTATTTTCCTTAATTTTAAGCTTTTTTTATCCACATCATTCATTTTTAAACAATTGATTCTAATGCATTTAAAAAAAAAAAAAAAAAAAAAATTGCTTACTACAATGTTGTCAAAGTCTTTTCATCTTTAGTATCCTTTCTAGAAGAACAATGTGTCCACATAACACGTTTTTATAGTCTTTAGACAAGACATTTTTACAGTATTCATATTTGATAATCTTTACAAGATAGCAGTTGAAGAAGTTTTGCCTATATAACTAACCTACAATGAGCAAACCATTTTTCTTCACAAAAATTGTATGTTGTCTTAGGATTTTTAACTTATATTTTTAGACTTGTAAATACTGAAGGACATAATAAAATAAATAATTTATGCTGTATGGACATTTTCATAGTCAAATTTGCTGATTAATTTTTTAAATTGGCTTGTATCTTTCCATTAACTATTTAATTTCTAATAGAGCACAGTTGTAATGGATTAAATTAAGCAATAATAATAATAATAATCCTTACACTCTTCTCTTAAACTTTGAAATAATTTTAATGTAAACATTTATTACTATTTGTAAAAATCATGCTGAGGCAAGGGCACCTCGACGTGATGTAATGGTTAGAAAGCTTGTCTTGCTAGATCAATTACAACTGAGTAATGAGTTTGATTCTCACTGGGTGCCCCATACTTTCAGTCTTGTACCACATCTAAGCCAGGCTTAGAAAATCAATATAACTTGTAAAAAAAAAAAACTTATGTAGTCTGAAGAAAAAAAAAAATATTGGTTTTGTATTATTTATTATTAAAAAAAAAAAAATTTGATGAAAAAATCTCCAGGTGAAATAAGAGTCAGCAGGTGTAATTCAAGAATCATGCAAATAAAAGGTCTGATTTTGGTTTTGTTAAATTGTGGGTAACACATAGAAATGAATAGCTGTTTGATTGCCATATTTACATACAATTATGTACAGTGTGAGAGTTTTTTTTTTCCTTAATTATTTCTTTTTTCGTTCTTCTTGGCATCGAGGACAGTACCATTTTCCTTTTGGCTTTGTGGTCAGTCCCACACAGGCAAAATGAAACCATTCAATGGGACACTGGAAAATTTTAAAAATAAAGTTAAATGCTTAAAGAGGGAAAAAAGCGGCAGTTTATTTATTTAAAACATTATTCAATACTGTAAATTTCCAATGCTCTGGATTTGCTATACATTAAAACTGTCTAGATTATATGTACAAATATTACAGCTTTAAAGAGATGTACTGATAAATTTGTCAATTATACATAAAAAGTTAATATAAATGAAGTTCAAATATTATGAAAGTGTATTTATGATCACAATTTATGTTGAAAATATACATGGATAAAATTAATGCATTGCTTACTGTACTGTGGTATTAAATATAGAATTACAATAAATTTATTTATGAAGTAATTTTAACTATCAACTATAAATACCTCAAAATATCTTTCAGTTCAACAAATAAACTTTTATTTAATTAAAATATACTTACATCTGGATTATCACAGCCAATCATTTCACCATAGGATACTTGATGACACAAACAATAAGTTGGTTCATTAGGGTCCACTGGCATATCTAAGACATCTGATGGATGAGTGATAGATAATGGTAATGATGGCAAACTGTTTTCAGAATCTGGCCTGGAAAAAAAAAAAAAAAAATAAAGTAAAAAATGTCACAATTTCCATCCTGATCAACCCACAATATGGTATCTGGCTAGTAAAGTGTTTATTTGGAATTATTATGTTAATATAAATTTTATCTTCAAGAATTTTTTTTTTTTTTTTTACAATCAAATATCTTAAAGTTGTGCCTTGTATAAATTATCCACTAGCTGGCAATGTTTAACCTTTGTGCAAAAAAAAAACAAACAAAAAAAAAAACACCCTAGGTTGTCAAGAGGATGGTTATTTCCTAGATACAGTTATTACTGTATACTCCCTCAGCAGAGTTTGTTTTAAAAGTGATGATTAGAATTTTAATAAAACCCAAACACATGAAAGTGAATTTATACATTTTCTTTATTCTTGAGAATTAACAAAGATATTAAACACTATTTATTTATCAAATTGCTTATTTACAAAAATAATTTTATATTTACAAGATTATAAAAATTTGTAAATCAACTAAAATGAAATATTATCTACCATTTTATAATGATGAATTGTTTTTTTTATTTATAAATTCATAAAAATGTCTCAACAAGAAAATTTAAATAAAAACATCACAAGGAACGGTAATTACAAATTTTGAAAAAAATGCATTTTATAGACATTTCTTTTATTTGCTCTTGCCACATAAATTCACTAAAATAGGTTATGAACATCTCTTTCACTGAACCAAACATTGTTTATTCAGTTTTTCTTGTTCTATAGTTATTTATAAAATGGTAAATAATAAAATCACATTGTACTTAGTTCACATATTTTTATAGTTTTGTAAATTTTGAGACACTGTTTTCGTGGGCACAAAGGTTAAACATTGCCCACTAATCTTCCTCAATTTAACTTTTATATATTCACATATCTAATATATCCACACTTGAAGCGGACATAAAAAAATAGACAGAGCTGTTTATTATAATCAGAGTTATTGTTAACAAAATCATTCAGCCCCAAACACTTTATGACAGTGTACTGAAAAGATCTCTTCCCCAACAAGTTTTCTTTCTTTTTTTTTTTTTTTTAATGTTTGGTCAAGTTTTTGAAAATATTAGCATCCACTTAAAATGAATTAATAAAAAATAATATCTTCAAGTACAGTAGAATCCCTCATATCTAAAGTGCCTCATATCTGGAGTCCCGCATTTCCAGACATGATTTTGATGTGTCTATTTGAACTATTTGGGTGATATGTAACTGATTTGAACTTTTTTTTCAGGAAATTTACTTTGGATAATTGATTATGCTTATTTCACCATAATGGCTTGTATTGGTGCAAAAGATGATGGGAATAAGAGGAAAAGAACAATTTGGGAGTTATCGCAAAAAGTGGAAATTTTAAATAGACTAGACGCTGGTGAAAGTTCATTGTAACTAATGGCCAAGTTCAACATAGGAAAGTCAACATTGTATGATATAAAATCTTCCAAAGAAACTATTCTCCAGCATTCACACTGTCATAATGAACAAGGGAATAGAAAAATATGATTGCGATGAAACCTGGACTGAAATTGAAAGCCTTTGAAAAGGTTGTCAGTTTTATAGAAAGAAAGCCAGCATTCAACTATTACTATTGCAATAACACACACAAACACAGTTAAATAGTGTTTTTCATTTTAAAAATTTCAAGAACAAAAGTAAAATGAAATGTGGAGAAAGTTGAGAACAACATTAAAAGAGAAAGAATCATCATGCAACAGCAATTAAAAAAGCCTCATTACATTTATTTTGCATACGTGGCATACTTAATTTAATGAATTTTCAGTATATAATTTATTAGTTTTTCTTAAAATCAATTCTGTCATATTTCACTCACCATTAGCTTATTTTGTTTACTATAAAACATTGAAAATAAATGTTAAACCAGATTTCAGTTCTTTTATGTTAACACCTCATATCTGGAAGGCCTTAGTCTGGTTATCAGGTAGTCACTGTATTCCATATAGTAGTTTAAGCCATTAATGAATTTTAATGGACACTGTTTTCATTAATATAAACATTATTTTAGTGGTTACACATTTGAATGAACATAACCATTTTTCAAACAGTTATTAAACAAAATATACCTTTCTTTAATAAGACTGTTTAAGCTAATGGACAATAAGTTCACTGTTTGAAAAGAAAAAAATTGATGTTCACTAAAACATATGTAGTCACTAAAATAATGTTTATAGTAATGAAAATAATGTCAAATTAAAAATCCATCAATTGCTTACATGACTGTCAACTTGTTAATAAAGGATGATTATAACACATCAATAAGTTAAGACAACTATGTTATTGACTATTTTCACTGTTATACTAATTTTATAGTCAATCATGTGCATCATGAAAATATATTTCATTAAAATTATATACAAATTAAATTATGTTCAAATTTAAATATGGGATAAAATTAAAAAATAAATATGAATTATTATGTTACAGAGAAAAAATTCTAATCTGGGACTATTTCTATGTAATACAAAATTACAATAGTGTATAGCTATGCATTACTTCATTTATGTGGATTGCACACAGTGCATAACATATAGGAAATTCAAGTTTTGCTTTTGAGAATTTTGAAAGAATTATGGATTATATTTTATACTAGCAGTAGAGCCCGGCGTTGCCTGGTGATATAACAGTAAGAGATAGATCAAGTATCCACCATCATAAAGACTGAAAAATAAAATTGACAAAGATTATTGGTTTAAGGTTGACGGACACGCATGTCTTTTTTTTTTTTTACAAATTGGTCAAACCCAAACTCAAACAAAAACATTGTTTTCAATCGTTATGAGTCTCTACCAATTGAATAGAATTTTATTATAAACAATTGTCTTGTAAATGGAATTTTTAAAGCATTCTGAATGTAAAAATAAAGAAAAAAGTGTGCAAGACAATAAGAAACACTACAGGTCAAAAAAAAAAAAAAAAAAAAAGTGAAGTTTTGTTGAAATCAGTTGAAAAATGTAGGTAGCCTTTCTGTAATCTTTTAGTTTTACAATTTATGATTTTTACTTATTGAATACAGTAAAAAAATTGCATATTTTGCTTGTGATGATTCATAATTAGAATTCTGATTTGAATATATTTTCCACTTGTTGTTTCTAATACAAAAAATATAAACTTTATTTGGGTTTATTAATTATGATCTAACAAATCTTATTCATTTAGTAGCCTTTCTGTAATAATAATCTTTTACAATTTATGATTTTTACTTATTGAATACAGTAAAAAAATTGGACACCATGTGTATTTAAAGTAGTTTCCCATTCCGGTTATTATTTTTAGTTAGGACATGTGTATGTTTAGATTTCATTATCTTTCCCTAGAGATAAAGAATTTATCCGATGTTTGTATTCGTACAATCAGTAGAGATCGTTAGATTATTGTTTAAGGTTGACGGACACGCATGTCTTAATTAGTCTTTTTTTTTTTTTTTTTTAACGAATTAATCAAAGCCAAACTCAAACAAAAACATTGTTTTCAATCGTTATGAGTCTCCCGATTGAATAGAATTTTATTATAAATAATTATCTCGTAAATGGAATTTTTAAAGCATTCTGAATGTTAAAAATAAAGAAAAAAAGTGTGCAAGAGAATAAGAAACACAAACTGCCAAAAAAAAAAAAAAAAAAAAAGTGAAGATTTGTTTTATCGGCTGAGAAATATAGGAAATCCGCTCCCATATTTAAAGGGACCCACACACACAAACAACCCGATGTGAGTTGTCCCCTTCCATTTTCACGATGTCTCTTAATTGTGTTTTCAAATTGATTTTGTGCAAAAACAATTATATTTTTCCCCCATTTTTGGCGCTGTTAGAACCACCACAAGGTAATTTTATGTAGTCCTGTGAAGTTTTGTTGAAATCGGTTGAAAAATGTAGGAAATCCGATCCAATATATAAACGTTACAGACACACACACACAATCTGCGTTTTATAATAAGTAAGATGATTGATTAAATCTGCAGATGTGAAAAACACTTATTCAAAAGCCTAACTGTATATTAACCACAAAATTTGACACCAATAATAAGAGCTCTCAACTAGAATATGAATTAAATCAAACTTAGTATAAAAAGTAACAAAAATTGAGAAAAACAGCAGTCAATTGCTGAAATATCCTGACAAGTGGACTGAACAATTACAAAATGGTTAATTTACAAAACTCTCAAGTTGAAATGCTGAATATAAAAATCAAAGGGACAAATTTTATACTTGTATTAATCAAACATACAAACATATGATTAAATGCAACAAAATGTTTAAGGAATAAATAGGAAATCTATAAATTTGACATATTTCGTTATTTATTTAGCTTCATCAGAAATCTTGCTTCAAATTTTTTTAGATGAATTCTCTTGTGCTCATAAACATTAGCTAAATCTACTGGTGTAACATTAAACTCCTTAGTAACACATAGAAGTAAAACAAGCCAGAACTTTAATTAAAAAATGCTACCTTAGGACATTACAGAGAAAATACCTAGAAAGAATATTAATAAAAAACCAATACAATAAATACTTGTTGAATGTACATTTCCATAGCACAAATATTCATAAACCCTATACGTAAAGAATGCAACATCCACACACAAGTGATGTGACCTAAAAATTCAAATTCACTTCCAACATTTGTCATGTTTATTATGCATTCAAAATACAGTAATGTACTCAATTTTAATACACTCAAATTACACTAACATTTCAAGAATTAAACACACACATAACATGAAGTAGACATGTGACAACTACAAAAATTAATATCTACATAAATATCAACAGCATAAAGAAAGCACATGACATCTCCCCAACAAATGAGAGGAAAACTACATAGAATTTAAAAATTGAAACAACTCCACATTATTCCACTTCTCAAAAATTTCTGATGAAGCTAAAATAGTGGAAAAATTGAATTTATAAAGGTTTTCCTATACATTCTTATACAATTGTTTAAAATTTGCTTTCTCTATGATGGGGGTGAGATGCTCATTATTAGGGATAGAGTATTTGCAAACATAAACAATGTTAACATAGAAATCAGCATAGTGTGATGACAGTTTCACAGCTTCAGTAAATATGATCTGGCCGATTACTTTTGTAAATCACTATGCAGTGTTGATTTCTATGTTGACATAAAGGGAAGCAAAATACGTAATACACCTACTGTAATTGTTGAGAAGATTTCTTGTTTTTCTTTTTCTTGGGTATTTCATCTTCATATTCAGCTTTCATTGATTTCCTTTTTTTCTTGTCTTTTACTTTAATGGCTAAAAAAAAAAAAAAAAAAATAATAAAAAAAATCATTTTTCAATAAAACTTTTCCATATTACTACAAATTTCAGCCTTTTTTCTATTTTCTAGTGATTTCAAATTCATTGACATACACAAAAAAAAAGTATTTACAGAAAAATATTTGATTTAATTCTGATAAAGAAATAACATTGAACATTCAGTATTAAAATTCACTAAAATAAAAAAAATATATTTAAATACAAATTCAGAAACATTTTATTTATTTTATTTTAATTTTGACATTAACCCTCTAAAGACTTTCTATGTTTATACAAAAACAAATGTTTTTTGCATTAAGAAAGTGAATACACATATCCTTTTCTTGTATATTGTACACTTGTAATATATTTGACAGAGTTTGAACTGCTGCTTTGTAGAACCAAATCCTATGAGGGTCCTTCACCAGTTAACTGTTGTCTTTCCCACATATCCCCATAACTGGACCTCTTACACTGTAATCCTCTACCTTGAGTGACACTTGGGCTTTGTACAAGTGGAACATCATTGTATTAAAAAAAAAAATTGTTTAAAACATTTAAAGTAAAAAAAAAAAAGAAAAGAAAAAAAGTCCTAAATAAATGTGGTAAATCTGTACACATTAAATCAATTATTTAAACTGACAGATATTTAAGAAATTAAGAAAATAAAATACAGCTAGAAAACAAGACCACCACATGGAAATACAAACATGGACACAATTTCTCAGCAATTAAGAATTCAATTTGGGTTCTTTGAGAAAGAAATTACAAAACAAAAAATTATAATAACATGTAAGTTAAGGAACCATCTTTAAATTTCTTGTCAGAATATCTAAAGATTTTCATATTTCTAGTAGTTGCTGTTAGAAACAAATTTTTAATGCTTTGGTATAGATAAAGTAACACGCAAAATACAAAGTGACTATACTAATATTGGAGGCTTTCCTGTTCCATAATCATGCTCAAACAACCTAGTTTTTAGCATGAACATTCACAAGACATCTAACCATGCTTGAACGTCACTAGGTCATCAAAGAGAGCAGTCAATTTCTAATAAAATGGAATAAAATATTGAGTTCAATATGAAATATAAAACTGATTTTCACCCTCAGAAATGAATATGGTTAAATTTGTCCTTTTAAGTCAACAGGTTATCAAATATAACATTCAATGATGCAATTTCTAATAAAATGGAGCAAGATATTGATTTCATTATGAAATACAAAAATACATTTCAACCTCACAAATGAATAAGGTTGACAGGTTATTAGTAAGAGAATTAATGTGGCCTTTATGATCAATTGTTTTCAGCCAAATTATAATCTTAGATGTAAATGGTACTTGAGAATTGATAGTGCTGATCACCAAGATAATTGCAGATCATGGGAAATCAAATTTTAATTAAAATTTCTTTTTTTTTTTTACAGCCAGATATAAAATTTTTTGTTTTTTTTTTGTAAAATGTGCCAATCTGAAAAAGTTTCTATAAAAGATTCTAAAATGCTCATGACTAAAATTTATACCCATTTTAAATATGGAGAAAAAAAATCAGAAATTATCAATATCTCTGAGTGCAAGACAATTTTCCACTAAAGAATGATACTATTGAAGAAATAAACTCAAAACCATTTTAACAGATTGCTGGAGATTTTTTGATTGTACAACTGGCACACTTTCTCAGCTCTTTTGAGTTGCCCTGTGTCCTTCCCAACTGGTTTCAACTATAAGTTAAGATAAGCATCATGCATCTTAAAAATCTTATTCCTTCAAAATTATGCAATGGAACTTGCCTAACTGTCAAGCAGCTTTTTCCACATGTCATCAAAGATACTAGCCTACAGAGATAGACAAGAATCCATATAATTCCAATAGTCTTATCCTCCCACTGATGTTTAGCTTTGCTATTACTGTCAACAAAGCACAATGTCTAAAGATTCAACCTCAACCCAATTTGTCCATGTTTTTTTTTTTTCATGGTTATCTTCACTGGATAAGCAAACAACCTTTTCATATTGATACTCAGTGAGAGAAGAATTAATGCCAACTATCCAGAAGCCAGAGACTAAGAGACTTCTTATCTCGTTTTGAGCAGTGAAATATTTTTTCAGTAACAGCCATATTTTTATGTGTAACTCATAAATAATTTTTCATTTGTTATAGTAAAACTAATCATAATAAAAGAATGATTTTTTGTGGTTATATTTGAAGTTGTTTTCCCTTTCCAAAATAACACCAAGTATTTGTGCCAGTTTTTATCATTCTTTAGGTAAGATACAGCACAAATAAAGCATCCCTCATTTCTAGAAATCTGTTACCTTGGTAGTACCTCCACATTGTACCAACTAGTACATGACATGCCTTGATAATCTGGGCCTTGACCTATTTTTAATTTTGTGCATTGCTTTTGATTTTGTCAACTGCACAGTATAGTAGGGTCACTTGGGCAGCATCTGTACGAAAAAGAGCACCATGAAGCAATTTACTCAATCAGAAACTTGGGAATGCCATGCTGTACTGCTTGGCATTCATGCCGGAAGCTCCAATACAAACATTTCAGAGTATTTGGGTGTCAATTTGAGGACAGTGCAGAGTATTCAGAAAGAGTTGGAGGAGTCTAATGGTGATTACAAATGTGTTTGGCATGATCACTAGTGATGGTAACGTTATGCCTCCATTCATCTTCTCACACTCAACACAGAAGCCTACATCAAGTACCTTGAGGAGGTTGTAATGCCCTGTTATCAAGAGGGTAGCTGCTGGAAGACCCTATGTCTAGCAACAGGACTCTTCATGTCACACAAGCAAGAGAAACAAGTCATAGCTGTCAGACAATTTCTGCAATCACATCACCCCTTACATCTGGCCACCTAACTCCCAAGACTGCCCCCCCCTTGATTATTATGCATGGGGCACAGTTGAGCAAGAAACCAACAAAACTCATTGTAACACCAAAGGTGAACTGATGGCAAGGATTATAGCCGCATTCACCAACTTAAACAAGGAGACTATCCAGTAGAGTTGCAGATTCCAAAGCTGACTGGAGACTGTTAAATCACATATGAAATAAGTGAATGGAATCTGGAGCAATGGATTAACAGCAAACTTTGTGTGAAGCAAAAGTTCTATTGGAATGTTATCCCTACTAAAAATGATATGGTGAATTTGCTATGAAGAAATAAAATGTTTTTGAGTGGCAAAAGTGAGATGATGTGCACAATGATGCAAAAACTGTGTAGCCAAAAAACATAGAACATATAAATTTGAACAGAGTGCAGACACCTTGATGCACTCAAAGATTAAGTGTGCAACTGACAACAGAACTGAATGGAAACAGAATGGAAAATTGTAACAGAGGATTTGGGATTGAAATTTTTCTCAAAAGATAGTAAATTCAAATCTTGATTGATGAGCAGAAAAAAAAAATGTTGGCTTCATGTTTCATCTAATCTTTTGAATAATGCCGAGATGTCTGAAAGGGATGAAGCATGGCGTTTTCAATATGCCAGCTTATGCAGTAAACAAAAAAGTGTGTCTCCTTCACAGTTCAAGATCAGGGTTTAACCATAAGGAAATAATTTACTAGAAATTCTTGGCACAGGGACAAACTGTTAATTAACATTTATCTTGAAAGGATTACAAGAATCTATTCAGAGAGAAAAACCTGACAAGTGGATTCTCCAGTGACAATACTCCTGCACATGATGCAATAGTTCAAAAGTTCCTGTCTAAGAAAACCATTACAAAAATGGACAATCCACCTTATTCACAAGACTTAACCATCTTGGATTTTTGGCTATTTCTAAAATTGAAAAATATCTTGAAAAGATAAGATTTGCTAACATTACTAATGTTCAGCAATATGTGAAAGTATTCTGGAAAACAAGTTTCAATATTATAAAGTGCATAGCTTCACAAGGGGAGTACTTTGAATATTGACCAGGTAAGCAAACTTTGCTTTACAGTGACATTGCAGGAATTAAACTACCACCACACCTGAGTAAAACCAAATTTGGCAATATAAAACATGCCAATATAAGAATAAAATATCTATAAAGAATATTAGGTGTTTATACTTACTTGGTCCCTCTTTAGGTTTTGTTATACTTTTCTCCTTTAAATCAGCTTCAAATCTGGCAAGATCAGCATCAAGTTTACGTATGTGCTTATCCACCTTTTAGAAAGAAGAAAAGAAAAATAATACAGATTCCAAAGTTATTAGATTACAATTAAATTTAAAATTCTTAATCTTTGCTTTGTTGTCTTTAAGTGATTTAACATTAGTTTTGTTCTGATTGATTAGTTTTCTACAGCTTATCAACCCTTTGCAGGTTATTTAAAGCCAGGAAATATCTTTTTAGATTGTAAGAATTTGGCAGTGGGGAATAATAATGGTTTACTGATAGAAATCTTACTAATTAACTCATAGCTGGACAGGGTTAAAAGGAGATGGATTCGTACCTTTTCCCAAGGGTATTTGCATGTAAGTGAATATAATGAACCAAACAGGAGTTAAAACCTGGCCCTCCAATTAACAATTCTGAGCCATTATCCATTACAACACCTGCAAATCGAAGCTTACAACACCTGGTATTCCCAAGCGCTCACCCATCTAGGTACTGACCAGGCTCAATGTTGCTTAACTTGTGATCATACAGGAACTGGTGTTTTAACTTGATGTGGCTTTTGTCCTGCTTGTCCTCCATTTTTTATATTGCTTATAGGATAAAGAAAATTTGGGTAATTTAAATGTACAATTTCTTCAATAAACATAAGATAACTTACTTAATTACTACATAAAACCAGAATACCAAAATAATATTTCAGGAAATCTATAAATAGTAATAATTGTAACTGCATTAAAAATTTTTTTTTTAAATTTAAATAAATTGTTAACATGTTTTAGTAACATACAATGATATAGTAATGTATGCAAAATGATATAAAATAAACAGTTTTAGCAATGGTAGCTTATTAGTGGTATAGATATTATCTTTTTCATCAAAATTAAAATAATCTAAATATAGTGGAAACATTTTTTAGAAATATTGATAATCTGTTATAGCCATTTTAAGTCTTACAGCGAACAATAGTCTTAAATGAATGATAATTGATTTAACACTTACAAAACAAATTCTAAGAAAGCTGTTTTAATCACATTTAACAAAATAATCATTGATTTGCAGGAATATCAGTTTGTGACAATATGAAACACAAATAAAGTAGTAATAGTAATAAAAACATGTGAAGTGTAGAGAAGTGATTGAAAAGTAACTCGCTATTTTAAACTTAACACCCTGTGGCTTTTTTCTTTGTGGGGTTGGTTAAAGGAGCAAGTCTACTACACCAAACCAAGACTTTGGAAGAATTTGAAGGACGAATACAAGTTATGTCTTCCATACCACAAGAGTTTGTAGTGAAATCAGTTGATACAATTCCTGGGCAGCTCCATTGCTACAGCAATGGCTGAATTATAAGAGACAATACAAGGTACAGATTTGTTCCTATTTGAGAACATTAAGTGTAAAAATATCAAGTCACAACTTTCAAAAGTAATCTTATTTGAAAATCAAAATCCCATTTAGCTATATCTGTATTAAAATAAAACAATTCACTTATGCCATATTTTTTTTAACTACAATTTACAAATATCTAAGTCAAGTTCTTAATAATAATAATAATAAAAAAAAAAAAAAAAAAAAAAAGAACTTACCATTTCATAAGTTTGCATTGCTAACTGAACTTTCTCATCTCCGAATCCAAGACTTTTATTATACTGAGAATTGATGGAGTTTAAGTGTGCAAGACGACGTTCTATGTTCATAGTCCTCACATTGCGAAGAAAAATCTCAGCTATTTTCTCAATTTCCTTCATTGTGTCTGATAAAAGAAAAAGAATTATTTTATTAATACCCAATTTTAAGTTCTTATTTGATTTATAGATTTTTATCAAAAAAAAAAAAAAAAAAAAAAAAAAAAAAACAAAACACAAACAAAACTGGCGAAGCAATATTTAAAAAATAAAATTGATTGAAAATAAGCTTCAAAATAATATTTATTTAAGAACTGAAAAAATCCTCAAGTGGTTGATTTTGTAAATATTTTCATATTTATAATCATCACAATATTATCAATATATGTGAAGAAACGATAAAAAATGTTCTTGGCACAACACACTTCACAAAATGTGAGCAAACATTAAATTTTTGTATGAATTTCTCATAAGAGTTATGATAATTTACATTATTTACAGTTGGACTAATATCCTCACCTGGCCTTCTGGGAGTTTGAACTAATGTTTAGGTATAGCTTGACTTGGTTAATTGTTAAATGATTACTATTTCTTTTTTTTCATAAAGTCCAAGTTTATCCATACTACCAGGCTCAGGGATCAAACTCACAATTATTAGGTCTTAAAGTCAATAACAAACACTTTAAGGGGGAGTGTTCATGAAATGTTTCTTTTACAGTTATATAAAAAGAAAAAATCCCTGAAGATGTTATTCCAGTAAAAAAATATAAGCAATATCAACTATGAACATTCTGAAAACTTATTCAAAACCTTACCAAAAACAATTTACATTCAATATATATTTATAAAAAAAACAAAAGAAAAACTACTTGTAATTTTTCAGTGTGAGTTTTTAAATTCATCCATTTACTGTTTATGAAAAGGGATTTTTATTAGATATGAACATGTTTGAAGAATAAAAAAAAATGTAAAGTTTAATTCCATTTTAAAGCAAGAATATTTTTTTTTAAAAGATTTTTATTTTACACCTGTTAATTAAGCTTATGGCCGTTTTTATAGTATAAATATAAGTTTTTTTTATTTTATTGAGGTACTACATAAAAAAAAAATCCTTCATCTTTGATATGATATGAAGTATAAGTTGCAAGGCATTAACTGTTGAAATGAAACTTATGTGATCAGCCCTTCAGTGTCATTTTTATGATTCTATTTTTTTTTAGAAAGAAATTTTTAAATTGTTTGAAACCTGAATCTTCAGTAACACATTAATATCTTTTTTTTTTTTAAGCATTTCACCCCAAGCAAGGTGTTAGCGCCACTAGCACGTAAGGGGTTACAGAGAGTGAGAGCAAGAGTAAAGATGGGTGTTTGAGGAGAAGGACAGGGATCAGGATCAAGGCATCATATGGCGATTGACATTACATTTGAATATTTGAAGATTATAGTTATCAGGGAAGCAAGTAGGAGGAAGGGTGTTCCACTGTAAGAAAGTGCAAGAGAAGAAGCTGTTGGAGTAGAAGAGGCGGTTACATTTAAAGTAACGCGAACTGACAGCGTCTAGGAATTTGAATGAAACCTGTCGGATAATTTATTGGGGCTGTTATAACGCATCTTCCTCAATGTAGCCGTTATCGCCCACCCCTTAACCACCTTTATCTAGAGACGAGACGCGTTAGATTAGAGCAACATCCAGCCGACACACACTGAGGTTAAAATAGAAAACTAAAATGATACATATGACACACTCACATCCTCTCTCCCACCTCACTTCGTTAACTTTGCGTATACTTGATGAGTTCCGTAAAAAAACCCGTGAATTGTCTTTTCATTCTTCATTTCATTCTTCATTTCAGCTTTTGGAAGTAAAGTCTGATGATCCAGAACCCTGTTAAAGGGGTTATGGTGAAATAGCTTATTACATGGAATCTTAACATGGTCTGTCTTTTATTCAAACATATATGCTCTGAATCTTACATTGAGCTCTCTGGATATCATCCTCCTCAGGTCTACCCATACGGATTACCTAAATTTGAATAAACTATATATATATATATATATATATATATATATATATATATATATATATATATATCCCTGTTACAGTTAAGTGATCTTAAACTTTTGATTTGGTCAATATAAAAAGTTGAAGTAACAGTATACTTCAGCCCATTGGCCTTGTTCTTCATCACAAATGCTAGAGTTGTTCAGATTCACTAAGTACCTTCATTTTTTGTTCCTTTACTAGTGGAAATAAAAGTTCCATTCCATCCATCTATTCACTTCTTCAGTTTTTAACTGTATCATCATTCTTTTCATACATTGCAAAGAAATTTATAGTCTTCTTTGCCCTGCTTCTCCTACTTGGAAGAAAACTACTACTACTACTCAGAATGTGGGGTTAATCATCCATTGAACAGAAGATTAGATGTAAATTTTATTAACCACCCTAAGTGTCTCTGGCACAGAAAGTATGAATGCATAAAAAAAAAAAAAAAAAAAAAAAAAAGGGACATAATCCCTAGAATTAGTAAATTGCAAATGCAAAATTTTAAAAAATGCTCCAAAGTTAAACTAAGACACGTATCCAGTCCATTTTGAAAACTGGACACATTTTTAAAAGGGTTATTTTAATTTTTTATGGACAAATGTGAATGCAAAATTTAAAGATAATATCCAGTTTTAATTATTTATTTTATAAGAATTTTGTTTAATGTTTTCAGAAAAAGCATAAAAACATCTGAGGCAAAAGTGATTTGAGCATGACAGTTTAGACAAAATACAATAAGTACTTTATATAGTTTTAAATGCATCATTAAAAATATAAAGATTTAAACAGTATAATATCCATTGATGAAAAAAAAGTTTGATTTAAAATGGAGGTTCAACTGGTGATATTCATTCACTTGGCAAGCAATACAAATTTTGAATCATTGTACTCAAAAGTTTTGCATGAATGTAGTATAACCTTTTTGATTCATGTGCACAAGTTGTATGGACACAGAAATATGAAACCAACTGACTATTAAAGTACAATTTTCAGGTTTTATGTGTTGCATTTATTTAATATTTCAACCACTAAAATTTTCAACTTGGAAATTTTTTGTGAAAAACAACAGTTTAAAGTGACATGGAATCCATTCTATCTTTATAAGGAGAAAAGATTAAATTTTATTTATTTACTAATTTTATCAAAATAACCTAAAAAAAGAAAAAGAGCGAGAAAGACTGAAATTTTTGAAAGTTGAAATTGAAGAAAATTTCACCATTGTAGCACAATTTTGCATCTATGACAGATTCAACTTTTACTCTGCAATTTTGCTAATAAAAATTTTAAAATTTCAAAATAGTTAAAATAGTTTAAATAGTTTAAATTTTTACAAATATTTGTCCTTTTTACAAGAAAAAAAAAAAATTATGGGGAACTTTTTATATTACATTTTTAAAATAAATCTAGTCATCAATTTTCTGAGAAAAAAATTGGCTACCTTTATTCTGATCTATGTTTAAATAGAAGTGTAATTTTCAAAAAACACTGGGAAGCTTCAAACTAGATAGCCATAATTTATAGCTAAAGTGGAAATGAAAAAGTAGGTAACAGGTGTACAAATGAAAATTTTTTTAATTTTTTTTTTTATTATACAACTAAGCAATCCTTTGTAAGTTGCTTAAAGTCAAATCAGCTGACAGGGAAATTGTCTCACCCTTACTCCTATGGTGTCCTTCTGGAAGTGTCTTTTCTCAGCAGTAGATATTGGGGATCTGGGGACAGCAATACAAGACTGAACAGTGTAGAGAGGGATTGTCAATGGAGTTCTGACCAACCATAAGGAGGTCAAAGGATGATGACATACGTCAAAACATTTTGGATTGTAAGAATAATTCTTGCAAGTTCTTTTGTAATGATTTTCCAGATACAAGTTTTACTATTCAACTCACTGTTGGAGGGAGGAATACAAATTGGAAGAAGTATACATTTCTCACATAAAATAAAATTTTAACTTTTTTCCAAGAAAACACTTTGTAAAGGAGCTTAGTCACAGGGACTTTAATTTACATTAATTTCATCTACAGACATTTGACTTCAAACTTTACATCATTCTATACGTATTGTAACTGTTTTTTTTTATACTTGAATTGTTTTCATTTTTATCTTTCAATTTCTATACCAAAATCCAATTACTTAATTTGTTTACACTCTTGTGTCCACTTTAGCAATAAACTACAGTTGTCAATATACCACCACAGATTTATAATTCCATCATTTTAAATTTAATGAAGGGAAAATCCTTTAATAATAATCATTATTTTCCAAAATATAGAGTACTTTTTCATGTTATTAAAAAATTTAATTTCTTTTTTGTGAATCACTTATGCCAGCCTCAAAAGCTGGACCTGTTCCCTTAAAAAAAAAATAAAATGACTTAAATACCTAAAGTTTGTGCAAAAGCAGAACAATATTTTTTTATTTTTTATGCAGAAGACAGTAGTTTGTAAATTCTGTTTGTAGTTTTGACAGAGCCCCACCACATTGACTCATTCAAAAATCAAAATCACATTTGGCAAAAAAAAAAAAAAAAAAAAAAAGCTTATTTTTCCAGGATTTCTCTTTTTTTTTAAAAAAAAAAAAAAAAAAAAAAAGAAAATGTTCACTTTGATTAACATCCTTCCAGCCTACACAAAACTCACACAATGAATGCAATGCTTGTAATTTTGCTGCCCTGAAAGTCAAACTTGCCAATGAACCTGTCAGTATAATATCAAACAAAACTGCCATGACTATAGTATTTTGAATGTAAACATGCATGGGACGCTATTTCTAATTTTTTTTTTTATTCAAGTCACCCCAGCAAGGTGATAATGCTAAGAGGTTACTGGGCATGAAAGAGAATTAAATACCTTAGGAGAAACCAGAAACTCAATTCTATACTGTAAACAAGAGATAAACCTCTACTCCTATACAATAGACACAGAAGTAGTATGAACCATACTATGTATGTATTGAACAGATTTTCATTCAAAATTTTCCCAAAATAAACACATCAGACCTAAGCTTAATGAACATTAGAAACTTTAATCAAGGCAACAATGCCACGAAGATTAAAGTTACAGAGAGCGAGAGAATAAAAAGATTTAGAAGGAACTGGAAACCCAATCCTATACTGTAAACAAGGGATAAACCTCTACTCCTGTTCAAAAGATCAGGGAGAAGTTTGAACCAGGCAATGTTGTTATCATGACAGAATGCCATCATCAAACTGCAAATGTGCCTCCAGGCTATATACTGCATGTGGGAGTATATTTGCAATTGTATCAGATTAAGCAATATATTGTCAAAAGACACAAATGGAAATGTTGACAATTATGTTTACTAACAATTACCAGCTTTTGTGATCAGCACACATATTAAATCTTGTTGATTAAATAGTCTCACATTGGCCATCAGTTAATAGTGTTGAGCAGTTTACTGTTTTCAAAAAGGCCTAGCCAAGATAGCAATACTTGAAATGGATTGAAGGTGCCTTGCCTAAGCAACTAGCAAAGATGACCTGGCAACCAGATGAAATTCTTAGATTAATGTGGTCAAATATCATTTTTGTATGTGCAGTTTTCTGAAGGTTTCTTTAAGAAAAGAGCCAGGGTCTGGTTATCAACAGGATTCTGTAGTTCATAGATGATTAACTATACCATACATCTCATTTGACCATAGGTTTTTACCTCACTCCAAATAACACCAAGCAGCTTACAATGATTTAATACAATGGAGATTCCAAGAGGTAGTCCGAAGATTGCTAATTTCTCAATTTAGGAAATGTTAACTTTTTAGACAAATTTAAACAACACTGACAATTGTTTTATTTAGCATAATTTGAATTAATATATTTAAATAGTTTGACTTTTTCAGTACAAAATTCAATTATCTTTTTATTTCAGTTTTGTAAAATTTTTCACTTATATTAAACTTACTTTCTGTGGATTCATTTTCAGTATTGGGAATCAATAATTATACATTTCTTAAATTGGAGTCCTTTTTATTTGAAAGCATAATTTGAATATTTGTTCTTAAAGGAACCTGATTAAAATAATACTTCTAAAACAATTATACACTGAAACATTCCATGGTTTTATCAAATTATGGATATGTCGTGTTATTTTTTTTAACATGCTTCTTGATTTTAATTTATTCTCATTAGTTCTCATTATTTCTAACATATCTTTCATTTCTTTACATGTCATGAAACTTGAATTTTGTTTTTTTTTTTAATAATAGAGTGTTTTATTGCAATTTTTCCCATGAAATACAATAAAGATGCAAAACAGCATTTACAAAACAGGTAAAAACATCACTTACCAAAATTGGAAACAAAATTAAGACAAATTTGAAATAGAAAAGTTGGCGCCTCCACATTACCTACATCTAAGAGATGAAAGCAATTTTAAAAAGGATCCTTGTAGCTAATCAATATTTGATTATCAATAAAGTCTGTGATTTTATTAATATTCACATGCTTATAAACCATGTAATAACTTCCACTATTTCTTGTAGATAAAAACAAAAACTAAATAGAATGAACAAAATATTCTATTCATAATTTGAAATTATTTGCTATAAAGAAAAGAACATGACAAAGAACTAACAATAAGCAAATTATTGCAAAACCAATAACATCAAGATTTGGTCTGGCAAATATTCATCAATATCTCGGATGTCAATTTATTAAAAATCATACTATTTTGACTGAAAACCATTTCCTCTTTTCCTTCACAATAAAGGATTAATATTTTGTGATTGTAAAATTTGAAGTTTCTAAAACTTTTGCATCTCTTAGTCCAAATCTTATACAAGTCTCTATATGCTAGATCAAAAGATTTCTTGCAAAATAAGCAATCCAAAATGTGAGCTATAAATACTTAACTATCTTAGTAGTGTTATAATAGATGATTCAAAGTATGGCACAGAAATCCTAAGAATGCAGAACTACTGAAAGATGCCTTTCAGAAACTAGGCAGAATATTAAGAGAAAAGAAAATTTCATTAGAAACAAAGAAAAGTGAGCTGAACTGCTATGTAATTTCTAATCTCCTACATGGGATTGAATGCTGGATAATCTCTTCATAGCTGAAGAAGAGATTTGAATCAATGAAGATATTCTACTGACATGTTAAAAATACTGTAAATTGAACAGTGAGTAATGAAAAAAATAGGAAAAAGGAAACTGCTGTTAAACAGCGAGAGAGCCGAGATTTCTGGGATACATAAGGAGGTAAGAAGGCTTGGAGAATTTAACACTCACAAGACAGACTGAAGGCAAGAGAGGAAACTGCAAGTAACATTAACATATGAATGGATAACATAAGGACAAAAACTGGTTTTAAAAGAACCAAAGTTATTTAGAGCAACAAACGAGAGGGAGTTGTGGAGAGCTGTTTGCTCACGTCCTGAAAGGATGACATATCAAAAAAATATTTTTTTAAAGTAATTTTTCGGAAAGAATAATTTCTCAGACCTTTACCATTGAAGTATGCTTCTTACTGGTGATCCCCGTCATGACCTTTGCCAGATTCTGGAATAGCACCATATTAAAACAATGTCTAGAAGACCCTTTCCAATGCACTGAATTAGATTCTTATTGTAGATTCTTTACTTACAGATCTGTGCTGTGATAAGTAATGCTTTACAAATATCAATGATGAATACCGATTTCCAAAGCAAATAAACTCTTCCAATCTAGAAGAATAGTGCAACACTTGCTCTATTTAACCAGGCAGTATTACTAAATACAAGTTTCATAATATTCAATTATTTTATTTAAATATTAAATCTAAAGAAAGAATACAAAGTTCCTAGGGTAATCATTAAATAAAATTCCCTGAAATTCCTTTATTTTTGGACATCACATGACAGTAAGTATATTGCTGTTAGAGCAAAGCTTAAAAAAATAAAATAAAAAGACAAAGAAGCAAATTATAGACTATAAACTCTCATTTTATACAATGTAACATCTCTACTCCAAATATAAAATGTGATTGAATTTATTAATTTCATGAATTTTTAAGTTCCTTTTTAATGTATTCTTTCAACTTTAAACACTAAGATTTTAATTTGTTCAGTTGCCATCTTTTTTTGCTTCAACTAATACTTTTCCCTTGATTTTCTTTTAAACATTCTTGACAATGATGACAGTTCATCCATTTAGGAATGAAAGAAAATTTAAAATTATTAATTATTAAAATCCTAAAAAAAAAAATATATCACTTAAATTATATTTAGCATTTATTTTCAATCTTACAAGAAAAAAAAAAAAGAAAAAAAAAAAGTTATTCAATGCATGTCAGGTTGCATTAGAAATTTCCCAGATTTCAGTTTTCCAGGTTGCCTGCAAACCCTGAAATAAAAATTTCTCAAAACAAGGTTTATTGTTCTATTCATTTCATATAAATACACAAATGTTGGTTTGAAAAAAAAGTTTTAAATTCTTTTTATTCTACAGAAAATAAAAAATGAATTTAATAAAAGAAAGCAATAAATTTATTCCAACCTTGTGCTCGCTGGTCAAGATCTCGCATTAGTGTGAAATTTCTCTGAAGTTCACTTGGCAAGGACTCAAGGCCTATAAAATAAGTAAATAAAATATGAAAACTATGTTATTCATACAAAATAAAATTTGCTTATACAGTGCTCAACTTAACAGAGAGCTTAACAAACAACTACTTTAATGGTATTTTAAAATATATGGTATGCCAAGTTATTGAGAACAGATAATAATCAAGACAATCAAATTAATTTTGATTGTGTTTTTTTTTTTTTTTTAAATGGTTTATCAACTTTTTATGGGTTATTTAATGATAAAACATTTGGAATTGTGAGACTAATTCCTTTTTGTGAGCAAATATTGCATTAACAATTTTATGCAGATAAATGATTTTTCCAGAGTTTTAATTAACCTATATCTGGAGAGAGAAGGGATGGTTTTATGCCTTCCTCAAAAGTATTCATGTGTAAGTAAAATGTACTTGACTGGAATTCAAGTGAATATTAGAAAAAAAAAAAAAAAAAAAAAAATATTACAGCTTTTGATTATATACACATACTCACATGTAACAAAGCAGAAAGAAGTTATTCAATAAAAGTGCCCTCAGCCCCCAAAGTAACCTCTATATGGCCTACTAAGCAATTACATGCCCAGATTAGGTACTTTCTCATTCATGTTGGCTATCATAGGCATAATGGCATAATTCAAGAAGTTCATATTGTTTGCTGGTTGTGATCGGCTTCTTATTGACACACCAGATGGCAGTAGTACAAGTGATTCAAATCAGATGGAAGACTGCTTGTTTAATGACATGATTATGAAAATTCTCAACCAGCCACTATTGGGCTATGTGAAAGGGAGCAGATTTCTGTTGGAGCACAAACAGCCTCCTCAATCCAGGGTTTAACTGCAGTGTCCTGCACTACAATGAAAGAGAATGTGGACTAACAACATGGCCTTTATTGCTCATAACTTCCAGAACCATCATAAATTGTGTTCATTGTCATGGATATCTCTGCAAAGTTCACACAGAATGGCCTGCTGTTCTTCCTGGTTACTTGCAAAAAGATCACATCTTCAAAGTCACTATGGTTGATGGCCATTGCCATGAACACATGTCTATGGCATGTGGCAGAGTGGAAACATATATGTTAATGCTCTTAGGAAAAATGACAATGTTTAAAATTTGATGTATTGTAACATTAATTTAGGTTATTTTCTACCTGTGGCCTGTCAAAGAGGTTTTCTGAAATAGTTTGTGCACATTGTATATATAAACATTTTTAATGGTACACACTTTTTATGCTATTAATATCTAACATAGTATTTACTAAAAACAAGATATATATTCATAAAAGAATGACATTTATAAACAGGAACAAATAAAGAGAAGAGATATTAATCTTGATTACTGTTGATCATAGGTTTGTCTATTAATTAATAAGACAAAAATCAAAGGGTAAACAGGTACAGAATGTCTGGTGGAACATTTTTTTTTTTTTTACTTATTGTTTATAAAGAAAATTATCATAGCCCAGTTTAGTACAGAAAGAAAAAGTAAAGGTGTTACATATATAGTTTAGTTTGCTGTATTTATTTGGCATAGTGCTCAATATTGGAAACAGAATATTTGTAAATATGGGTACCAGTGTATCTGGTTTAATGCCCCCACCAACCCCAAAAAAAAGGAAAAAAAAAAAAAGGAGTCAATCAGGGTACTAATTTAACATTAATTATAACAAAATTATAATTTAATGAAACTGAATAGAGCACTTTTAATTCAAAATGAAAATGTTAAACATTAATAAACTATGATAAATTGTAAAGTAAAGAATACTCTCTAGTTGAAGTGAGGTTAAATAATCAGTGTTTTAGAATTCACAAAACAATTAAAAAGAAAGAAAACTGTTAATGTTTATGCTTTAGCTTCTTTTTCTTTTTTAAATAAAGTCACGGTGATTGATTATGAATGAAAAATGTTATTTACATCTTGACGAATGATTGATATAGTGATTGACCTTAGTTTTTTTAGTTCAATTGCTTTTACATCTACCAACCATAACATTCCATTACAAAACAAAAGTAGAGATTATGATCTTAAAAAAAAAAAAAAACAAAAAACACTTAACCGAATTTCAAAAAAATAAATCCGAGATTTTTTGAGGGGGGGGGTCTAAACATTTACTTGCATAATTATTGAATAGTATATTTATACACGCAAACACAAAACAATTTGTAATTAAATTACTCAATAATATTCAACAACGTTTAAACTTTAATGAAATTTTTTGTTTACACAGAAAAAAAATATCATGAATTTGAAATGAATGCCTATCGTCATTTCATTCATTTTTTAAACTGAATTAGCATTTTTCTTTAGGATTAATTTTTTTAGTATATCACTTGTTATTTGTAAGATTATAATTTTTAATTCATATAATTCGGAATGGAAAAAAATTACCGCAAATTTAATTAATTAGATCTTTTTTTTTTTTCTTATGTTTAAAGCTTAATAATTCAACAATAAAAAGTTAAAAAAATAAATAAATAAATAAACGAAACGGAGGAAAAATAAGGAAGAAAAGGATAAAGATCAATGTAAAAACAAAACAAAAATGTCAAAAGTTGGGTGAAAACAAAAAGGAAGCACTGTAAAGCGAATCCCTAAGAGATTTTATAAATTGTTTGAAATGTTTTTATATTAACAGGTCAACCTGTCAAAACAAGTACACTGTTTGACATACTTCAAGGGATGATGGCTACCACAGAGAATGTTAGCGTAAAGTGCACACTACCACAGAAAGTGAATAATAAAAAAAAAAAAAACAATGCTTAAGTTCACATGTACTTTTATTAATAGAGTGAATTAATTAATATCTAGAAACTAATTATTTACAAAAGTTGATTTTATTTTTAATGATGAATAAAAAAAAAAAAAAAGGTGAGAAAAAAAAAACAATATTCTCAGTTGACTTCATTCTAAAAACTTGTTTGATAAACTGATGCAAATAAAGTTTTTCATCGGTTTGAACTGTCAAAAATAGTCATTAAATCACAAAAAACAAGTAAGTAATTGAAAACGAATTAATTTCATTTTGATAAAAGTTATGGCGCCTACAACAAAATGGCGGGGTTTATGACTGACTAATTAGTGTTAAATTTCTAAGAGAAAATAATAATACATAACTGACATTAAGAATATTCAACTATATTAATATTTAGAATATGGCCCTAATTAACAATTGCAATTTCTACAATGTACTAAAAATGTGAGAAAATACTTAAAACATCTTTTTCTTGAATCTACTTCTCTCGTTTTTGGGGTTTTTTTTTGTTGTTGTTTTTTTTTTTTTCTTATTTCTAACTGGATTCTTGACGTGCACATGCCTGTAGTGTAGTGTATACATAGAAAGGCGCTGACAATTGTCAGGAGGGAGGCAAAAATAAAAAGCATTCCGGACCATATTCGCAGTTAGGGTAGGCTGCAACCGTTTTTGAGATATGCAGCAATGTTAAAAGCTGTATTCTGAAATAGAAAAAAAAATTTAGTTCAATGTGATAGAAATAAGCAAATAGTCTTACTGTCCAAGTAATGTTCAAGATACATAGCAGTGGCCATTTTCATTCTATTTGGTGCGAGATGGGGTGGTGGCGAAATGGGAGTGGTGTATAATGGGGGATGAATGCGGCAGGGTAGGACGAAAATCTTGGAACCCACGGATTTTACCGAGATTTTCCGACTAGTCACGTGAACGCGTCTGCTATGATCCAAACCAAATCAATACTTAGTATTTTTCTTTCTTTATTTATTTATTTAATTCTCAGCCATTCTTTTTTTTAATTTCTTTTTCATATTTATTTTATCTTCCTATTTATATATTTTTAACGTACAAAATGAGTAAATAAAAATAAAGTTTGATTTTTTTTAATCTCTTGAATAACTGGATACACTTTAAGTTTTAAATTATTAATGGACATTTTTCATTTTTTTTTCTTTTTATTAATATTTATATTTCGATTTTTATTTTAAGCTATTATTTTGACAGTTGTAATGCTAAAAACTTAAGTTTCGTATCGAGCAAAGTTAGCAGCAGGAGCATTGGTGGATGCGACGGCGGAAGGCTTGGGGGTGTTGTACAATAATGGCTGCCAAGTTCCACAATCGTACTGGGTCTTTGGTAAAATTATGCAATGGCAACCGGACTGCTAAAAGAAATAATCCGACCCAGGAATTTAGCAATGCTGTCGTTCTCAGTAGCGAACCACTGCGCGACAGTCAACTCTTTGAAGTCCGAATCGACAAAAAGGTAAATGCGGCATCATGTGTCTTGTTACTGCCATTGTTATTATCATTAAATATTTTTGAATACACACACACAAAGAAATAAATAATAATAATAATAAAAAATTTAAAAATAATAGCATAAGTTAAAAGGGGGAAATTAATATCTGTGTGTGTTCATGTATAGACAAGTGTAACAGAAATTAACTTATTATATCCAAAACAACATTATCCATAGAATTTACCATTTTTCTTCGTGCACACTTATTCTAACGCACTAAATATGTGTGTGTACATACATACATACATATATATATATATATAATTTTAAATCTTAGTTTTTCTTTATGGCTTAACCTCGATATGTAAGTTTCCCCTCCTCGAAAAAAAAAGCATTTTATTTTTATCTTGTAATTATTGTTTTTGGAATTGAAATCGATCGAATTGTTGTTTTGTATTGGTTTTTAAGGTGCAAAGAAATGTTATGAAAAGTTCAATATTTGCAAAAATAAATAAAAAACTGAATTAACAATATTTAAGTTTCTAATTGAAATGTTTTTATTTGCGATTTTTAATTTTAAAACCTGTTCCTTTTCACTTTATAAAGTTTCATCTCAATATTTTCGCAAAAGAAGACACTGATGAATGATTTATTTTAAAATAAATTTTTAAATTATTTTTGAGTTTGACGTTCTTTTAATAACTTTTAAATTATTTCCAAACGAATGTGTATTTTTTAAATAATATTACATGATAATTCTAACTTTATTAGCATAAACAACTAAAAAAATATTTTCATGATTTACATTTTAGTAATAAATAAAAAACCTGCTGTACCAATATTGTTTGTTTTATGTTTATTTTTTAATTTTGCTTCTACTGGTTAGAAGCAATTCAGAAGAATGTGATCAATTTTTTAGCAGCCGAAAAGTTTTATAGCCGAATCCAAATTCTGACTGAAACTGTTGCATTTGCTTTCGCACTCATGCCCTTGAAAAAACATGAATCCATCTTGTGTCTTCAAACCCAGTTTATAGCAGGGTAGACTGAGCTCTCTAACCGTGGCTGGCAACTAGTCAAAGAGATGGAAAACCTTAAATTCCAAACCGTGGTAGCGGGGAAACCACTTCACTAACTTTCCAAAGAAGTCATCATGGTAGTTCATAATAATAATGAAAACAAAAAAAAAATGGAATTTGTAGGCATCCATAAGCATCTACTTTCTAATGAATCAAACAGTAAATAAAAAATATTTTGTACTCTCGATTTTGATTTTATGATAAAATCAAAATTGAGAGTATAAAAAATCTATAAAATAAATAATAATCTTCATATTGCAGTAATAATTTTTTTATCCGAGTGATTTAGGATTTATTTTCTAGATTTAAGATATATTGAAGAATTTTATTTAAAAAATCCTATCCAAACTCATTTTCAAGTGTGTATTTTAGACTCTAAATTTAAAAAATAATTGTACTTTTTATCACCACCGCCTGTCAAACGAACAAAAAAAAAACCCTACAATTCCGATACATGTTTATTAAACTAGGCAACCCGTCAAAAAATTTTTAAATCAAGAAAAATATCAATTCTGAATTTATTTGTTTTTCTTCAAAGTGAATAGGCTCAAAAAAACTAAATTTCTTTAAGATTTTTATTCCTAGAACTTTTCCATATGAAGAAAAATTAAAAAAATAATTGTTAGTACTTATTGCTTTTTTTAAGTTGTTAGCCTTTTCTTAGTTTTCTTATACAGTGACACAGTTCAGATTTTAATTTAAAATCATCAGAATTTTAGCGTATTTTTTTTATAAAATAAACATCCCCGACAGTTGATGTCATGTAAAACATGAAATAGATTTGACACCTTTTAAACCCGGCTTAATATTATTGATCCTGTTGAATTGAAACTCCTCCCTGCATGTTTCAAATTTGACAGTATGGCCAAAAATGTCTTTCTAAATCTGAAATTGTTCAATATTGCATAACAATGTTTGAGTTATGAATTAGATCTGAAAATAACGGTATATATTTTTTTATTTATTTATTTACCTTTGGTTAATTAATTAGCAGTATTGCAGTTGATCATGAAAATAAACGATAAATAACTACTGATGAATGAAATAACTACTGATGAATGAAATTCTTTTTAAAATCTGTTTTTAATCTAAAAATCTTCTAAAAATATTTACTTTCAAAGATAATGAATGAATAAAAATAAATGATGCTCTTTTTTAGCTTTGTTTATTTTGTGCACAATAAAATTGCACCAATTTATTTTAGCGAAATAATAAAAAAACTAAAAAAAAAGTATTCAAATATTTTATATTTTGAATAATGACAATTGATAATGCTTACGTTTCTTCACTGTTTCAAGAGTTACGTAACATTTTTCTCTTTTAAATTTGATAAAATTAAGCATCAATTTTTAATTTTTAATTAATACACGTAAATTTACTACACGTAGTAATTCGTAAATTTAACCCCATTTTTTTAAGTTTTATTTTTATAAAATATTTTTTCATCGTAAGAGGAAAAAAATTATATCTTGCTTTTTCAACTCGTTTTAAATTAATTTAATTTCTATTTTTTAATTTTTTATTTTAATTTATTTTTTTCAGAATTTTCTTTTATAATTTCTTTGCTTAACAACATCTATTTACATAATTTTCTTCTTTTTTTTTAATTTTTTAAAGTAAATTGTTGAGAATTTAAGAAAAATGTATAAATTTTATTTCTTTTCATTCACTAAATTTACAAAAATAGAATCTGAAAGTTTTGTCATTTTATGGCTAAAAAAATTCTTTGGTGTTGTTAAGCAATCTTTACAAAAATGCTATGCCTCTTGGGGACAATAACTATCATGGCTCGTCCAGATTCTGTCTTTATCTGTGGAATGCAATTAATACTTTGGAAAGATAGTGGAACATTATCCCGTTACATTCTCCATTATTTTGAATTCCGACACCTAAATAATTGTCATCCAAGGCTAGAATAGAAAGCCCAGTCTCCCCAATTTTATTTAACTCCTAAACAGATTGAGAGGAGATGTATTTGTTTTTCCAACAGCCTGTGTGTGAAAGTGAAAAACAGACTAAGCCAGAATTTGAACTTAATGATTCCAATTTCTGTGTGGATAACAACTGTTAACCACACATCCAAGGTGTAAAATGCTTCTCCATTGCCAACTGCTTTCAATTTAGCTCTTGCCATGTAATTATTTTGTTTAAATTTGGTTATTAGTAAGTAATAGCTTAAATTAAATATTAATTTTTGAGAATAAAATTTGATTAGTTTCTCTGAACAGTCCTTTACAAAACATATAGTGTGCTGTTTTTGTATGGCCACTTTATTGAATTATTGAAATTGTTACTGCAATATTCCTTAAAAGATGTTCATGAAAATATTTCTTCTATTTCCTTTTTTTTTTTTTAAATGTATTATATTTTATCACAAATATATTTTCATTATACTCTCATAGTTTTATTAGTTATTTACATGTTCTACCTTATGAAAGATACAGTGATCACCAAAACTGTACCAGTGGTGTAATATATAGTGACTTGAAATAAGAAAATGGGGAGCTGAGTTCAAATTTCAGTCAAATTTGTTACATCCACTTACAAATACCCTTTGGTAAGGTATGAATTTATCTCTACTCCCCAGCTATGGTTTAAATAGGACTTGTATTTGGAAAAAATTATTCTCAAAAAATTATTAATGCAATATTCACTTGCAAAGAGAAAATTTTTCTTACACTCAAATGTTTTGGCTTTAAGTAATTCACAAAGGGTTGAAAGCCATAAAAAGAAAAACAATCAATAAAAAGTAGTTATTGTCAATATAATTATATTTTAATATATTTAAATGAAAGAGCAATATTTTGATAAATTTAATCCAAGTGCATTACTTTCAACAAAAAATCTTTGAAAATTATTTAAGTAAACAACTAAAATTATTAGTGCATTCAATTAGTAGTCAGTAGTGTATATTTTTAAACTTATAACTTTCTGTACCCTTTCCTTGTAATTTTTCACTTAATGTTACTTATTTTCATGCACTCCTTGACAAACAGCCTCTAATTTTTGGATATTTTAAGGAGACCTTTGCTTTACACTCACCTAGAATTCTCTCCATATATTTTCTATCTAATTAAGGTTTGGTCTTTCAGCTGACCATTGTAAAATCTTATTCCTATTTCTCTCCAACCATGTTTTCAAGAAGTATGCTTAGGATCATTGTTCTAAGCGAAGTTTCAACAATGTCTTAGATTCACTTCTCTTCTACAATCCTTCAGCTTATGGGTCAAAAATCCTTCTCATGCCATTAATATCTAGAACATTTTATTGTAAAACAGAACCTAGAACATTGAACTGTCATCCCTATGCTTTGTTTTAGGGACAGTGTTCTTTAGCAGATGAGTTTCATCACATTCTTTCAAACGTGTGACATGTTATAATGAAATAAATTGTTTTTGTTTAGTCGATTTTAATATTTTCTTCCAAAATTCATCCTTCATTTCAATATAATTTTTAGCAAACTTCAAATGGTGAGGCTACAAAAGATTCTTTCTAGGAATTCTTTCACTACTCCTCTTTGAAGAATTCTACCCACCATTTGCTAAGAGACTTTCTCACCTACAGCTGCTAATTCATCAGTTATTTGGTGGTCACTCTGAGGTTATTCTGTGTGATCATCACTATGCTGTTTTCTTTCTTCTGAAAATATTTGTTTATGGGCTCCATTCCAAACCAGCCTCTGAACAATATATGACATGTACAGTTAACTTAGGAAGATGATACTCATTGGCAATCTTGTCATACCCTTCACCATTCTTATGACATTTCACAATTACATTTTTAAGTGCTGCACTGTGTTCTTTTGTGTTTAGCATGGTGATAGTTGCTGCATGACAGATAAATCTGAATTGCTGATGAATTTTGAAGAATATTCTATCCTAGAACTTGTATATTAATGAGATTTTCATAAATACATGAATTTTCATGTTAGGTATTAAAATAACCA